TTAGAAGAAAGTTTGGTTCTGTCTTTCCTTATAGCATAGGGAATTCCTTTAATATAAACTTACTCATTATTTAGCCAAAATGAGTGCCTATTTCCCCCAATAATTTTAACTAAGAGGGCAGTTAATCGAAATAAGCTGTCCAGATATACGCTAAACTACCAAGTTAAATTTCGTCATGGAAGTTGTTTGCAGGACTCGCAGGACTGTATGCCGCAGAAAATCCCCTTTTCAAGCCCTAAAACACGTATAATTTAAAATTAGGTCGTGTATGGCCTGCGCAAATGTCCGTTTAGTGTTGGGTCGTGTGTGGTACGCGTAGAGGCTCGTTTACTTCTGAGAGCCACTGCACTCACGTCCACCATCTGGCGGGCTGCCGTGAAAAGAACAAGACAAGGTAGATGCAGCACTAGCCCACCGCCTAACCTTGCACAACGGCCCCTGTGCACACACGCACGCGCCGTGTCAGTTATTTTTTGCCTACCCTCCGCCCCAGACTACTTTCATTTCTGCCTTCCGTGCAGATCCCAGTCCTCCGGCTACAGCCCAAATCGTCGATGCCTATAACAAGCTTCGCAGCAATGTCCTCCTTCTCTACGAGCTGCGTGGTGCTATGCTGCAGTGTGACTACGAACTCCAGGCTGCTCGTTCTCGCATGGAGCTCTTTGCCCCAGACAAAGTGAGATTCCTTTTGTCTCTTTCACATTTGCTCTTCTTAGTCTTCTCATCGGTTTTTTTTACTTGGAGCTTCCGGCACCTGGTAATTCTGCCGTCGGCTGATCCGCTGCATTGTTGGCCGTTCCGCTAGAGGCACGGTTTTTACACCACCGGTGACCTTCAGTTAGTCCTAACCGTTAAATGACAGATGGCGCATAGAATTTAGCCATAGCGGTGGTATACTGTAGGTGAATGAGTTTTTATTGATATAGGAGAGCTGCTCATTTGGTTTCACTAGACATTATATACTTTCTGATTATCATCTGCTTGGTGGATGAGGTTTGGGTTGGATTTCAAGGTTAGGGTTGGGTTTTAGGGCTAACCTAGAGATTAGTCCTGTGGGTTAGGATTGGGGCTTTGGTTCTTGCAATAAAGCTGTATAGTTAGGGTTATATCTCGCAGTTAGGGCCTTGGTTCGGTGTATGCATTTCGCCTCATTGGTCGCATTCTGTTTTCCACTTTGTACCAGGCTTCAGCGAGGCCGCCTCGGAGCTGAAGTAGGCCACACTAACAACGGTCCATTTCAGCCTACCTTACAGTCTTGATTAGATGTGACGTAAGTTGGCCACCTTCCGAGCGCGCTGTGATAACTAAAAAGTGTCTCAGGCGTCTTCCCTATCACACCCTGAAGTCAGGACGAGTTTGAGGCAAGCCAGTTGGGCTGAGTGCCTAGTGTGACATGCAACTTCCGGCCTCCGTGCGTCTCACACACAGGGCGGTGCCTGGATCAAGCCAGAGGCAACACCGCCCGCCCTTCATTGCTCCTATGTGAAGTTAGACCGCGTTAAACCTGCTTAATTTTCACTTCAACATTGCATGAAATAATTAGCCACACGATATCCTGGCTCCTCTGGTTCTGACTTCGACTCCGTGTAGTCTCCTCGCATGCCTGCGCAATTCTCGAAGTTGATTTTTTGCTTCTTGGTTTGGAAGACTGCCCCCAATGGCACCACTTGGTCCCACCGTCGGTCTTCTTGACTATGTTACGAAAACGGGCACAGGCAGGCGATTGAAGCGGGGTTTGTGGTAGATGTTGTGCAAGTCACTGTCACTGAAAACTAATCTGCGCACAAGTCATCGCGCTCGATTTCAGTCTGCTGTGAAGCACCTGTTCGAAATGTTTTGGATTTGGTGGTCGATCTGTCTCTCTAAGTTTGATGGATCTGCCTGATGGGTGGGCAGGATGGTGTTTTTAAGTGGGGCTGCGATTGCCTGCATATGTGCTTGTTCATACGCTTTAGGCGGTCAGCCTGTGTGGTCAGTGTGTCCGGAACTGTTGGTTGTAAAGAAGAATTAGTCGGAGCCCCTCGTACTCCGGCAGACCACGACAAAAGGAACACAGTGATTTCACGCTAAATTCTAAAAAAAAATGAGTATTCCCGTGTCTTAGCGCTAACACTAGATCTTATATTCG